AGGGAAGGACGAGCAGATGGCCAAGACCGACATGGCGGTGGCGTCGGCGGCGACGCTCGTGGCCGCGCAGTGCGTGGAGGTGGCGGAGGCCATGGGGGCGGAGCGCGAGCATCTGGCGTCGGTGGTTAGCTCCGCCGTGAATGTGAGATCCTCCGGCGACATTATGACTTTAACTGCTGGGGCTGCGACAGGTACGGATGAATAATGGGAAATGAAAACGAAATGTGAATGACTAGTTGAAGGAACATTCTGTTTTGCCGAGTTTGTGTGCGTTGATATTTTTGGTCTCGGCAAGCGTGTTTATTTTGTGGTTTGGAATTGAATTGCAGCTTTGCGTGGGGCTGCCACATTGAAAGCGAGGGCCCTCAAGGAAGTGTGGAATATTGCAGCAGTGATTCCTGTGGAGAAAAATTTGGGAGCTGCGGGTGGAGTTATCAATAATAATGGCAGCAATGGGAATTCTAATAGTAGCTTTAGCGGTGAGCTTGTAACAGAAGAAAATTTCTTGGGTATATGCAATAGAGAATTATTAGCCAGAGGTTGTGAGCTTCTCAAGCGCACACGCAAAGGTATATTTCATGATTTTATTTTATTTTTCCTTCTTATGTTATCATATCTGTGAAGCAGAATGTCATTATGTTTGTCTTGGAGAAAAGAAACCCCTTTGGAAAGGGATTTTGATTTGATGATGAATTGTGTGCAGGTGATCTTCATTGGAAAATTGTGTCTGTGTATGTGAACAGGACGAATCAGGTGAGTCTTTTTTTTAATATTTTGTCCCGTGTGTTGCAGAATGATGCACTTTTGATTTTTAGAGGATAACTAAGTAGGTAATTATTTGGGCATCAATTAATGTTAAAATGTTAATGATGTGTGGAAACATGATTGTGGAAAAGGTTAAGAGGTGGGGGCCTTTTGTATGATGATGATGAAGTGGAGAAGGGATCTAGCTTAGCTTACTTTGGTTCCTTAGAAAACTGCAACCTTTAACACTCTGGTGGAAATTCTTTTTGTGAAGGTTATACTGAAAATGAAGAGCAGGCACGTTGCTGGGACCATCACAAAAAAGAAAAAGAGTGAGTTTTCATTACTTTTGTCTTGCTCCAAACTAATTATTTGACAACAGATTTGGAGGTGGGACTTATTCCGTTTTGGGGATTTGTGAAAGTCGTAGCTACTAATACTAAAGTTGTGAAAGATCAAAAGATGGAAAGGCTTGTTCTTAAAATTTTATATCCCTTTCTTTTGGAGTTGGCAGATGTGGTGGTTGAAGTGATCAAAGATGTACCCGCCTGGCCTGGACGCCACTTGCTGGAAGGTGGTGAGGATCGCCGCTACTTCGGTTTGAAAACGGTGATGCGTGGTGTGGTGGAATTTGAGTGCAAAGATCAGAGAGAATTTGATGTGTGGACTCAAGGTGTTTCAAGGCTTCTCTCCATTGCGGCAGAAAAGAACAACAAAAACAGAATATGATTGGAGTCTGAGATCAATCCATGGGTGCTATTAGGCATTAATAGATGTTTTGTACATGATGGTGGGTTTTGGTCATTGTAAAAAGGTTAAACTAAAGGCAAAGTTAATGCCAAATGGGGTCACACTTTAATCTATCTAAGAGATGGGGATGTATTTTTTGAATGGAAAAGCGAAATATTTGAACTTAAGTGAGCCCAATGCGAACCAATAGTCCTTATGTTCTGTAAAGAAAATGAGTATCTTGGACTTGGGGGAGTCAAAAAGAAGTGGAAAGAATCATATTGGAGGGAAAGGATAATGTTTGTAGACAAATATACCCTTCCTTGATCTTCTTGTTTGTACATTTGGGTTTGGATTTGATTAAAAAAGGTGGTCAAAAGTCTAAATTTTCATGTGATTATCACAATAAAAAAATATCTTGGGTTTGGATCAATGGAAATTGTTTCCAACTATATTCTTCCACATCGAGTCATCATTGCAAGGACTCCCACTTTATATTTTTATTTTTCAAGTGCATAACAGGATATGAACTAATTTGGAAAAAGAGCAGTAACAAAAATTTGAGACTTTTGCTAAGTGACTAGTGAATATGTTTTATCTCTATTCTCATCAAATAAAATATGACGAGAGCAACGAAAGTATTGTTACAAGATGCAAGATGGGATGGTAAGAAATATTTTAATTAATAGTAGTAACAGTGTGAATTGCATAGGTCCAATAGTGGGGGTTGTTTTAAGTATTTATTGATAGTTAAATCTTTGTCAAAAAGTTTAGTTGAACATTTTTAAAGTTTACTTTTTATATACGAGATTCAAATTTTGTAAATTTATCCACAAGTATCATGAAAACAATAATAAAGTTAATTTTGTTGTTCATAATTATCATAGAAAATAATAATTTATCCACAAGTATCATGAAAACAACAATAAAGTTAATATGGATCAAAAAATTCTTTTATGTCTATGGAGTTCAAATATTTTGTAATTTTCTTTCTAATACAGTGTTATGCCATCCTCAGTTGACATATCAGTTAATTTCATTAAAATATTAAATGGAGTCAGACTTAAGAGGTTGAATTCTCACTTGTGGAAATTAGAATTTAGAGGATTAGAATTGTACAAGTATTATATCTAAAAGACCAGCATTGATATCACTACCCAATTTGTATCTTCTTCGGCCCATTTCTCTTTGTCACCCTATCTCTCTTTAATATTTTTATTTATTTATTTACTCAAATTGCAGCACCGCAGGAGAGGATTTATTTTCTATCACTACCACTCCTTGCCATTTGAAAATATTAATAACAGTGAATCCAAATTCCATCATCAAATTTGATATTCATTCATGACTTTTGATTAATGATTCCTTCAAATTTATTCGAGTGGACCAAAAGGGGAGTTTCCTCCTTATAATACAATTGTATAAGACTACTTGGCTACATTTTGTTATTCCTTGATTTAGCAACGTATAAAAACTACATCTTTTCCTCCAAGTTCTTACATGTACTCATTAATAATGAAATTGTAAACACTGTCATATAAGAATTGTCTAATAAAGTCGACACTTGTAAAAATTCAAAAATTCACTCATCACAGTAACATGTCTTTCATTTTGTCCTTCCACAAGTAATAATGCACTGTAATCAAAAAGCTCTGATGAACACCCTTCAATTGCAAGGACACAATAATAGAACAATTAATGGCAGAAATAATTTTTTCCTAACTTGCCAGAATGTGTAAGAATTTTCAGCACATATACGGTAGAAAAATGAAAAATGAAGTATCCATCATGACAATTATTTTTTATCATGTAAATCATCCATACTACATCCTTTTACGTCTTTGTTTTTAAGGTTTAAGTTGTTCTATTATTTAACACAAATCTTCTATCTATATATAATTACCGAACATTTTTTTGTCATTATTATTATTATTAGTATTTTGGTTGTCATTTTTTGTAAGGCAATTGAGCTGTTAAAGTTTTATCATCTACTAGACTACTAGGTTTGGGCCAATTGTTCTGCTGTTTTCTAAAACAAGTTCTGATAGGCTGCTACAACTTCTGTTCATTATTGGTATATTTTTCCTTTCATAAAACCGTCAGCACAGCAGACTCTAAAGTTGAAGAGTGTACGGCTAGGGTCCAAGAGAACAATTCTCTCTGTCATATATATATATACTATGGGCTTCACATATTCAGGCCCATAAAGTTCCAAAAATATTTTCTGTTGGTTATTCTGTTTCCACAAAAAGACTAGCTCAACATATGCCAAAAAGCCCTCCAACTGTTTTTGGGTTGCAAAGTTAAATTAAGGGTACACAGAACCCAAGTTACGTTGAGACTTGAGACAACTCTAGATTTGCCCAAGAAAAAGCTTGATACAGACAAACTTTAATTAATATCAAGTAGTGGGCTAGCGTGTTTGGACTGCTCAAACATAGTAGGTTGGGAATTTTAAAAACTAAAATATCAAGAATAAAAACAATTTTATATATAAACTTGTGATTTTAAATTTAATTAATATTTTAATTTATGCAATAAACAGGTTAAATGTTTATTATATATAGTTAAAATTTAAAATAAATTTATATATAAATAAATATTATATTTTAATACATAAATCATATATAAAATTTGACTAAATAGATATTTTAATTATATAAATTATATTTTAGGTTTATGATAAATAATTTATATTGCAGCATAAAGTTATTTTTATTTATTTATTATTTATCTTAAAATTTTGAAATTTAATTAATAAATAATTGTGACAAATAAAAAATTAAATTAAATTAAATATTAAGTTAAAAGAATTCCTAAAATTCTATTTCTTTTAAAATAAAGTCCCTAAAAAATAGTCTCACGTAAGATATTCATTTTATATTTTATATATAAGAGTTGATTGTGAGTATATATACTTTTAATATTTTTTTTACTTAAAAAAATAATTTACAAAAAGAAAATTAATACTTTCTAAGTGGATAGAAAAGTAATACTTTTTGGCTCCATTTTTCTAAAATTAAAGTTTCATATTTTATTCTGGATACTAAATCATTATACGTAAAATGAAACCACATAATTTTTTTAGTTATAAGCAAATGTTTATATCATTACAAAAAGTATCAAATTTAAACATTCATGAAAACTTGAAGAGTGTATAAAGAGGCACATGAAGAGTAATTTCTTTTTTTTAAGTATATATTGATATGAGATATTAATTATAAAAAAATAATGATTAATTTTTATTAAAAACGGTGACTTTACACAAAGAATTTATTTCATATTCATCAATAAAATTTGAACTTTGAACAATTTGTGTGCATGAATAGTATACATATTTATATCTTCTCATAAATTTTCTTATTATTTAATAACCAAAGAATTAAGTGAAATTTAATTATATTTAATATCTTGTAAATATAAAATATATTTAAGACCTACCATTAAAGAAATAGGAAGATGAAAAGAAGAAAGATTCAAAATTATTCAATTATATAGTATTGATATATATACCTTATGATGAGTTGGAGCATATCCTATTAGTATCCATTGACAAATTTTAGAATTAGGCTATATAACCCTTCTAACGGGCAATGTCAGAGATAGCTTTGCATGCAGAGGGGAGAAGAAGATTTATTATCAGCTTCTTGAAGACAAATTAAATAGAGAAAGTGATTAATAAAACTGAGTGAAGTTTTGTCACGGCCCATGAACATGAAGAATCAGAATTTTCCTATGGTTGATGACAAGGGACAAGTGTTCCTAGAAACAAGAGGAGTGGGTGCAATGCAATGTCATGTTTCAGACTGTCAGAGATGCCCTATGCAACCGAGTTACATGTTCTTAGGCCGTATCCTATGTAAACAGTTAGTAATTAAAATCTCAAAGTTAAACTTCTTTTCTTTCTCTCTTACACTTACCTAAAGGCTATAGAATTGATGGAGCTGAATTCAACGAGAATGGTGTTATATATATATATATATATATATATATTTTAAAAGGAAATAGTTTTACATTACTTAGTCTTGGTCCACCTAAATATAGAGCCTTTATATATTAAAGTGCTCTTTAAGCTTTCAAAGAGGTAAGTAATGGGTGGTAGGCTCGTCCACGTGACAATGGGCTTTGTGAGTCCATTATAGTTCAAATCTGTCAATTTACTCCCTTTATGCATGTTAGTTCTGCTCCTTAAATTACTGAGACGACATTATATATCAGGTATTCTTACTGACTTATATGACATTTAGTTTTATAAACGTAATAACAAATATTTTTTTTTATATACATAAAATATGCACTTTAGTAAGGTTATCCTTATATCAGCCATGATAACAAGTTTAAAACTGTGAAAGGAGCAAAAGGATGATTTTGAATATCTTTAATGGAATCACTCACCGCTCACTTTTTGCATCAATGTCAAATGACAATGAACTTTATCCACAGCAAGAGAGAATGTTGAGGGTGCAAACTATTAGTTTACTTGACCTACATGTAAAGAGCAAATATTCTGAATTTTGAATTTCAGTAAAAAAAATTCTTTTCCTAGTTACTAAAATTCGACGACTTGATTGGTTTCACAGGTTAAATTGGAATTAGCTTGTTATGTTATCAATTCAGACTACCAGAGAGTTGGTAGAAGGAGAAAAATTGTCAAAAAGAAAGAAATTAAAAATTGGTTGTCAAGAATTGGTCAAAATTGATAAATATTGATTTGAACTATTTCTTTTCAAAAACAAAACATTTGTAACTTGTTTTATTTCATTTTTAAAAATTATCCAAAATCATTTTTAATTAAATAAATGTAGTCAAAGCCAAAGACAAAATCTAAGTTAAAGACAAGCATTTGTGAAAAGAGTGAGATACTCAGAATATATTTAAGATTTTATAATTTTAGTTAAAATAGATAAACATAAACTGATTTTCAAAGCTAAAATTTGTGTAAAGGAATTGATTATAATAGGAATCGTTTGCAACATGAAGGAAACGAGTATCATGTGAAAAAATTGATGATTTTTATACTTGTTTTCTCGGCAACGAAACAATTTCCAACTGCTAAAATCAGTTCTCCAAAAGGATCTAAGTTATAATTTTTTTTAACAAAACTTATTTTAGGGATTCAAAAAATTCAATTAACTCATTTGTCAGAAATTCTTATAATTTATGACAATGTATGTACTTGTAGGACCGGATTATGTATGGAAAGAGACTTTGGTTTGGTATGAGTTGAGTTAAATTTAGAAGCTTCTCAATCTCATAAATAGTACTAAACCATCATTTTAGGAGCAAGTATAATAATTAATACACTTCATTTTCAATGTCAATCAACTTTATCTTTTTGATGTCCAATATTACCTAATAATGTTGGCATTGGTGTCTATCAAATTTTCAGGACGCGAATCCCTTCACATGTTGTCTGATTATTCTTTTGTGCAATGGTTGTATATTCTAGGTCCTATAAGGCTGTAACCTCTGTATATATTGACTAGAAAAGGCTCAATTAAAGGCAAAATGAAATAATAAAAAAGGACAGCACTATCTATTTTAAACATATTGTGCAATTGTATGACATTGAAATTTCCTAGAAACAAGGTGAGCAGATGAAATATCAAACATGTGTACTCGGGAGCCGATGAATGATGATAATGGAAGGAGAAGAGATGTTTGAAAGAAAGATTTTGATAGATGGGAATAAAGATGTGAGTCTCTTGAACCAAAGAGGTGAAGTGAAGCTCTTATGATCTTATTACTTTGATGCTTACTCACTTTCCCAGTTCACCGGCAACCCCAACAATACTGTCAAATCATACATCACTTCTTAACTTATCTTTCTCCGCTTTTTTTCAGAAACCTAACCAAACTTTGCTGTGGTGTAATGGGCTTCCTGACTAAACCTTTGGATTTTGAATGTCAATTTGGAGAAACCGGTTCACACATTGTCAATCTGTCTTATCAAACACCTCAAATAAAAACTACTATATACATGTTTTTCTGTGGGGCTATGACATATTATAAGAAAAAGAGAAGAAAAAAACAAACAAAAAAACAACAACCCTGCCAGGCCTCGTGAAAAAGCAGACTTCTTGGGCTGTACATTTCTGTGTATCCGTGCCATTTTTAAAGAAGATGTTACACATAAGATGGAGACATATTACATACCTATATTAAAAGGGTGTATAACAATGTGTTGATTACCAGATATACAATTAGGTTGGAATGCAAGGAAAAATTTCTAATCGTCAGAAGATTAGAAGAAATACGACTTTATATTTTTTAGGTGATAATAATAAAAACAAATTTATAAGACTATAAATTTAAAGTAAATAATGTTATACTAGTGTGCAAGAAGTATAAAACATGCACAGTGGTAATTATTTATCCTAGCCGAATAGCACATTGGCGTTTTGGGATTGGGAGTGAATGGGGGGGGGTGATAGTGGTGAGTTTTTTTGCGTGATTTAGTGAATGGAGGCTTTGTTGGGGCAGTATTTACTTTTACCCCATTTGATACAAGCAAGACTGACATCAGGGGTAGCTATAGCTAAAGCAACTGTATATCTCTGTTCAACTCAATTGCAATTGCAGAGAAAGGAGCTTTCACCCCCTCGTGTGTGTACTGCCCTTCTCTACTTTGGAATTGGAGCACTCGTCACTCACATGTCATCCACTACTATTATCTATCCATAATTCTTCGCCCATTAATATTATTTTCTTCTTCTATAGGAAAATCAAACCCACACGCATCTTAATCAATTCAAAACACACGTCAACTTTTATTTCCTTTCACAAGAAAATATATCACTCTCTCTTGTTTTGCCCATGCGTCAACCTGTTTGTGCAAAGTTTGGTGGGGAAGATGCATGGCGTTTTCATATATACGCAATTTTTAATCATGGGGCTGCCCTTCATTCTTTGCTCTTTCTATTTTCCTATTCTGTGAGGTCACGTATATCAGTATATGGCCCCTCACCCTCACCCTCACCCTCATCAGAAAAACAAAGTTAGTTAAAATCATAAATATTAGTCCCCTTCATAATTAAATTTAAAATCTCTTATTATAAATGAAAATTTTAAAATCAAAACTCATTTTTAATCATAGGACTAAGATTTAGGAAATCAATGAGCAGTTACAAGAAGATTAATGTCACACCCGTTGACGTTTACTATAAAATATAATAAGCTACGTGTGTAAAAGGAAAAACACTAGCACATTTTTTGGTACAAAAACATCGCTCCGGCAACTTTCTGTAACATTATCACGAGTAGTAAAAATCTCTCTCTCTCTCTCTCTGGATTTTAATTTAACTACATATTCAAGGTTTAAATTTAATATTACTTATTAGTCGACCAATATAGCGTAGCACTTGAGGCAAACAGAAAAATTAATAGGGTTTCGATTTAAATGTTCATTCTAGCCCGTTAGAAACTTGTTGAAGTAATGTTTGTAAATAAAAATAGAAACCAAGAAATCTCCTTAATTAGGTTAAATATTAAGTAACCTGATGAGGTATATATAGAAATAAATGGAATTTAAACAAGAAAAAGTGGCATCATATGTACGAGCAAAAGGCAATAGCTATCATCCATTATCATTTATCATATAGACACACATGAAACATCGAACTGTGTTTCGTCGTTACACAATATATCACTCTGAACTTGCTGTGTCAAACGTTGCTTTCTGCAGAAGTGGAAACACCACTTATTGGCATGTGGTCACATTGAATGGAAAATGAAAGGGGGAAGAAGGGGGAACCGGCGCGTGCACATGTAAACAACATTCACAGATTGGGCAGAAAACAAGTAGACACTAAATCCTAAAGATTTTATCTGGCTTCATCTCCGAGAGAGACACAGATCACGTAACAATAAATCCCCACAGTACATAAACCAAACAAAAAAAATTAATAATACAAGCTCAGATACCTAATGCCTTAAAACAATGAGGTGTAGCATAAACTCCCTTCCCTTCCTTCCCTACCTCTATTAACTGAAGAGGAGCTACTGATAAATACAACTCAGAACCTTTATTGTCTTGTAATAATAATAGAGGGTGGTAGGGTAATGAGAGGTGCCACAAACATAAACCAAAAAGGGAATGAAATCATATACAAATATAGAGAGAAGTAGTAGTGTTATGTGTTAAAAGCAGAGAAAGGTTTAAGATATTCCTCTCGGTAATCACACCTGAACATCTTCTATTCCCAACAAAAGGCTAACCCAAAAATCAATACTATAAACATCAATATTACTATAAACATAGTACTCATAAACAAGCCAACCTCAGCAACATTAGTAAGTGCATGAAAGGCACTAACACTGAGATAAGAAGAAAAAAAAAGCCAAAAGGGGAAATTTAAGATGGCTGCAGGTGCCTGCAATGTTCGGTTCTGGCAACGTTTGTGTTCTTGTACTAGGATTTTTTTTTTTTTCTTCTAGTTTATATACTAATTTATTTAATAATTAATTAATGTCATGGCATAAAAAGCTTGTTCCCGCACTTGCAACGCCAGGCTTCTGGGTAATACTCGAGGCGTATGATGAAACCGGGTTGGACCGGAACGTGAACCGGTTGGCAAGGACTGCACCAGCCGCACTTGGATCTGCAGGAGGGCGGCGACGACCCTGGCCCCCCGAACCTCTTCTCCTCCGCCACCAGCGGCGACGCATTCTCCTTCTCTTCCCGGCTAAGCTGCCTCACTGCTCCGCCACCTGAAATAAAAATAAAATAAGTTTGAAACTAATGGAAGTGGTGTGAAAAAAGAAAAAAAGAAAAAATAGTTTGTTTGTACTTACTGGGTTGTGGAGTGAGAGTGGTTAAGGGTGAAGTGGAGGAGAAGAAGAGAAAAGTGAAGGTGGTGAGGGTTTGTAACCAATGGATTACGCCCATGGGAAGAGAAGAGATGGAGGAGAGAAAGTCCAAGTGAAAAGAGAAGAGAGGCCATTGTTTGAGTATTACTATTAGGGGAAAAGGCCCATAGGCTAGGGGACATGGGCCCCACAAGAGTCCAGAATCATTGTCATAGGCTGCCTTCCAACTTCCTTTTTTCTATCCACAAACCTCTCATTTCTCTTCATTTCACCTCCCATCTCCTCTAAACTCTAAACTCATTCTTTCTTTACCAATTTTACTTCTAAATCAAACCACAACTGCTCACCTCCACTCAAATCAATTATAAAAATACAACTCAATTGTTTTTATAAAAACAAATAATTAAACTCACCTATTTCTAAATTGAATTCGAAGTGGTCTATCTTCATGGCCAGGTCTAACTACTTCACTTTTAAATTAAAAAAATACCTTCAAAAAATAATTCATCAATTTGGTCGACTCCTAGACTAATCGAATTAAGTTAGCTAAATCACAAATTTCTACGCTCAATGTCTATTGGTATATATGCCAAAAAGAATTATTTATTTTCTTTATAAAATTTAAATATAATTATCTATTAATCATATTATACCCAATACATGAGTTTGTTTTTCCATCTCATTAAGGCGTTCTTAATTACTTAAGGTCAAAATGTCTCCCAAGGCAAGAACAGGCGGAAAAAAAGGAGGCTACCATTTAAGAAAGTAGCTGAATTGTCCAAAGGTTCTTGGACTTATCTCAGCTAGTCAATTTCACATTTATGAAAAACATTTTAAAGTATAATATGTTATTCAAGTTTATCTAAGTATATATTACAATTATACTTATTAATTTTAATTATATTAAAATCTAAAAATAAAGTTTCCTTTTATATTTTAAGATTGTGAGAAATACTTTAGTCTTTAATTTTAAATTTGTTTTTATCAAAATTTTACAAGTATTTTAACAATAAAATTACGTTTTTATTGTTCAAATATCCATAATAGTGGAAGTACTTACAAAAACATTCTAATATTTAAGTTAGAGAGAAATTTATGTTAAAAATTAGATGATTAGATAGAATAATACCTCATCCTCCATATATACATGTTGATTGATTGTATTGTGTTTTTAGGAAATGATATTACATAGTAGTTATGAAGTATCATCATAATTGAGTGCGAGGTTTATTATATGAAATGTTATTCTTAACATGTCGCTCCTTAGTATATTCTGAAATCTTTGAAAATATGGTGTGTAATATTATTATTTGGTTATTATCTGAGCTACAATTTCAAACTCGTCACAAGAATTCAGTTGAGTATGTTTGGACTAAAAAGTATTGAGGTAAACTCGACATGTTTAAGTTAGACAATACATTTTTTTCTTTAAAATACGATTTTACCAAATATTATTAACTTTAGTTTTTTTAATATAAAATCACACCGAAAAATTAATTATAAAAAAGTGACCTATAGGTTAAAGAAAGTTATAAATTTTATTTCCTAACGCTTGATTAAAAAAAAGGAAATGACTTAGGGTTGAAATGAATAGACGAAAATAAAAACAAAATAAATAAATAGAATAAAAATACTAACTTTTTAGCATTTATTTGAGAGGAGGAATATGAAAGTATTTTTTTTAAGAAACCTGCTAAACATCTTTCTCTTGAATTTACATGAATTACGAGGGAATAATTTATTTTAATTTTAATTTCTTTGAAAGATTAAATTTTTTTTTTACATGATTTTTAAAATTAAAGAATAATTTCATACTAACAAATGTAATAAAAGGAAAAGGTTTTTTTTATATCACGTCAACAAAATTTTATCTTATTATATGATGTCAACTAGAAAGACCACACAAGATGTTATTCGTCTCATTTTTAAAAACTAAAATTTCGTAAATGAGTTAATTTTTTTCAGTATATCGACAAGTTTTACGTTAATTATCGATCACTCAACCCAACCCTCGCCTTAAAAACAAAATAATATTTTGGTACTTCAAAGAGTTAGGTTGTATATTTTCTTTTAAAAAAATAATTAGCGATTAATATTTTATTTAAAGTATGTGTATAAATTATCCTTAGTTTAGGCATAAGTCTTTGGGGGAGGTGTAACCTTTAAGAATTATTATTAACAAAATATATGTGGGCACTGTGTTCCACTCCATGTTAGAGAACCTGTTCACAAGACACGAATGCATCAAACAGAACCTGGACTCTTTTTTTTTTTTTTGCCTAGTCGGATTCGGACCAAAAGTTTAATCGTATTGGCCCAATTGATGGTGCCACGCATATTGGGCTAACCCCACCAGGAAAAAAATGGGTGATTTTTTTTTTTAGCTGTTAGTTTTGACCAGGATGGCTGTTTAGTTACTGGTTCGCCATTTTGACCAAGTTATTAATTTATAGTACTTTTAGTAGCAGCTATGGTTACTTATGAAGCTAATACTTAATCACTTTACCATTATAGACGTTAGTAAAAGAAATAAAAGTTAAAATATCTACATTGTAAATATAAATTTTTCATTACTCATAACATGGTAAAATTAGTTCCAAAGATCTTGCGTAAGGGGAATTAAATATGTATTGAACCAACCGTCTATTGATATACTTTAATATTTCTACATTATATCAACCAAATATAAATTATTAAAAAATAATAATTTTAAAATAATTAATACAAAAGGTTAAAAATTTAATTAAATGAAAAATAAGATTGGATATTAATGTAAAAAAATTGTTTCATTACAATAGTGTTCCAATCAAATTGTTGTATATAATATAAATGAAATGAATTTTTTTTCTTATGGATAAATAGTATCCTATTTCAAAAATGATTATAGTGTCTATTTGTTTATCATCTAAAAACAATTTTATGTACCGACACATGTTTCAAGAATGATATACGTGATTAAGATGAATTGTTGTGATGGTGCAGTGATTGGAATGCAAACATTACTTTGTTCGTGTAGATGTAGCAGCGTTATTTTTTCCTTTGAGGTTGCTATTGTTCAGCTCTGGAAAGTTTATCATTGCATGGCAACAATGGTTTTGAGGAGTTCATTGTGGAGTTTGATTCGCCATGTGTCCCTACTAATTCATGTAGTGTTTTGCTGCATGATATTTTATTGTTTACCAGAAGTGGTGGTAATTTTGTTTGGATTCTTATTTTTTATTAGGCTAATTAAGTTGTTGATGCATTAGTTAAATTTGGACAACCTTAGATGGACAATTAAGAATCTTTTTAATTTTGTTCTTCCCTTTTTTTTATAATGTTATTTGATCGTATCGGCACAATTGTTTCATCCTATGTTCTCACGATTTTTAGTGTGTTTGGGATTCTTCTCCCTTATATTTGCAAAAAAATAATAATAATAATAATAATAATTTAGATATATATATCTCGATAAAATTGTTCAATAATTTAAAATTATAAAAAATAATTTTACTAAATTTCAAAACAAATACAAACCAACAACAAAATTTATTATAATTGGGTAGATAATTAATTGTATTTAAACATGAAAATAAAATTATTAAAAGAAACAATACCTAATATTTACACGTGAAAAAATTAGTTTAGTTATTGATGGAAGAATGTATTTGGTGTAATTTTAAATGCGTCTATTTTGTTTTTCTTCAAATTATTATAGTTCATAGTGACCTCATTTTTATTTAAAAAAAACACTATAAACTATAACGATCCCATTATTATTATTATTATTTATTGAATTGTTATAATCCATGTCATCTCTATTTTTTTATTAGGTCACTATAACCGAATCATCTCAAATTTTTTATTTTTTATCTTTTATTTTTTTATTGGGTCGCCATGACCTATGTGATCTTTATTTATTTATTTATTACAATTTTTAATTTTTTTATTTATATTAAAATATAAAGGGATCCTTTAAGTAATCGATTTCCTTTACATTTGATAGACAATTATACCTTAAAAAAATTTCTCGATAATCCATTAATGAGTTGCAAGTATGTGAAGAAGTGATTAAGATATTATCATTCAATATTATATGATAGTTCAATTAATTTTAAAATTTTTAATCATGTTTTGAAAAAAAAATTCTTGATTTTTACTTATAAGAAGGTATGCTTGTTATTTTGGATAATATGTTCATTGTATTTAAGGATGGTCCATGGTAGTACAAGGCATTTAAGTGCCACATGGATGTTTCTTTTGACAATGCTTTCTACTATTATGTTGGATGTGAATGTCATGTAATGGGTGTTACACATTGGAAAATAGTCTTTGTGGTTACGTTGGATTTACTTATATACATATTTAGATTTTATATTTTTAACCGATAATTTCTTATAATTCATGTTACAAATTTAAATTGAACTCAAAGCTAGTGATGAGAAAGGTGTTGAGTCTTCTATTTTGTTTGATTCTGGTTGTAATGCTTTGATGAAAAAAAATGCAAACAATTGTTTAAGTTAAAGGTTTATGAGATTATTTAATTTAATTTATAAAAAATAAGCATAAAATTTGAATTTTAGTCACGTTAATTATTTATTGTGTTTGTTTTAAATACTCTTAAATTATATGTATGTGTTTTTTTATGATGTTTACTTTTTTTTTCCCATAAGAATCTAACTACTATTGATTATCTAGTTGAGTTTGGTAACTTAGTTGGGATGAAGTCGTTACTCATTGTTGAGAAGTTAGCTAACCATGTTTTTTGTTATGAGGATACTTTTAAAGTGAAATAAAAATCCATTGATGACTGTGTAACAGAGAAGTTAAAGGGAGAAAATTTTATTACAATTCTAGAATTTGTGTATTATTTATTTAATTTTTTTATCGTCATTTGGTAATCATTGTTAGTTATACATTTTATATGAAGTTTTTTTATATTGTTTCAATTGAAGTTTCAATTCACTCAGTCTTTTGTCTTCTATTGCTATTCTTAGAGAGTTTTCAAGATTTAGGGGAGTTTACTGATATTAGGTCATTTTACTCACATTGTATCTATTGAAGTTGGAGAGCCTTCAGGCATGATTTATTTTGGCATTCTAAGTGAACCAATAGTTGTTTGATTGGCAGAGGATGATCCAAACAATAATATG